AGGGAACCACCGCAGCTCCTCTAGCTGAGAGAATGTTGCAACTGAATTCCCGGTGAATTTGGAAAAATGTGTTAAAACCTGATATGGACGTCAGAAGTGGCATGGAGGAGAGAAAAAGAGTGTGCTTTGTCCTGATACACTTGTGCAGCCCTGCATGGCACTTCTGACTCACAGTGTCTTCCTGTGTGGGTCACTGGGCACCTGACCCTGTTATGCGCAGAAAATGAACGCCCCACTGGAAGTGCTCACAAATGCAACACTGTAGGCAATTAATGCCCTTGAAAAAAAAGTGTGGCTGTTGTCTATGAGCAATGAAAGAATCACAATCATACAGTTGAGGATCCATGGCATATGCATTCCAGGGGGCACACTGAGAAATGCTTCTTCTAGGCAGGAGTCAACTGACTGCTTGCTTAAAGCAATATACAAGAGGATAAAGACGTGAGTCACCCCCCAAACCCCCAAGGTTTTCTTCATAGGACTTGAGCACCAGGCTTTTGTGCATCTCCTCTTGTAATGCCAGCTGCTCTGGAAGGTCTTGGTGACGGTGTTCCAGAACACGGCCTAAGAACAGAGACTCTGACTATTCAAAATATCTATTCCACAGCCACCTCCTATTTTAACTTCTAACTAATGCTTCCTAAGCACAGATCTTATTTTTCCATCTAGAATTAACTTTCTTTTTCTATTTTCTCTTTGTAAAAATGACTTGCAGCCACTGTAGTAAAATCAAAATACAAGTAAGGAGAAAAAATAAAGAAATAAGAAACCCCTAAAAATATAGTTATCCCCAGTGTGTGTGGAGGATTTGCTCCAGGACCGCAGATGCTGGGGACATCAATAAATACTCCTCCTGTAAAATGGTGTCCTACCATAACCTGTGACACACTCTCATGTGTTCTACCTCATCTCTAGATATGTATATAAAATAAATGTTAAATAGATAGCTCTCATACTGAACTGTTCAGGGAACAATGGCAATGATCTCAGGTGGCTCTCCTACCTATGATTCTCTTTTTTCCTTTTTTTATTCTTTATTCTTCTCTCATATATCCCCTCCTCTACTCTCCTCCTAATCCCCTCCACTACCCCCCCACACACACACGCAAACCTCTTCCCCATATCTACTCCTCCTCTGTTTTCCTTCAGAAAATGGCAGGCCTCCCAAGGATGTCAACCAAATGTAGCATAACAAGTTACAATAAGACTATATCAGCCCTCATATCAAGGCTGAACAAGGCAACCCAGGAGGAGGAAACAGGTCCCAAGAGCAGATAAAAGAGTCAGAGACAGCCTCCATTCCTGCTCTTAGAAGTCCCACAAGAACACCAAGCTACACAACTGTACCATATATACAGAGGACCTAGGTCAGACCCATACAAGTTCCCTGTTTGTCTGTTCAGTTTCTGTGAGCCCAGTGAGCCCTGGTTAGTTGATTCTGTGGGCCGTGTTCTTGTGGTGACCTTGACCCCTCTGGCTCCTACAATCTTTCCTCTCCCTCTTCTGAGGGATTCCTCAAGCTCTGCCTAATGTTTGGCTGTGGGTCCTACCTCTAATTCTTAGATAATCAAAAAAACACCCAACTAATAATGATTTGCATTCATCAGATAATGAGTGAGTTCTGTGGCATTAAGGGCAGTTATTACAGTAAGCATCCTAATTTATTGGCTTGTGGGTTTCCTGACTGAACTTTTCAAGGGAGCCCAGACTACAAGGTAGGATTAGAATACAATGTTCAAACTCATACCACACATCTTCCTCACATCATTCCTTGCCAACCCCAGGCCCCTCAGGTACCACCTTCTTCTAGACCTGCTCCTATCTTCACAGAAATCCCATGGCAGACTGTAGCATCTCCCTAATACCTTAAGGTTCCAGCCATTCTAGAGCCTTTCAAAAGGATTGCCAGAAATCCTACACTGCCAAATCTACATTTTCTCGGAACCTGTGAGCCAGGAAAAAAACTGATGACCATAAAAACAGAAGCACAAGAACTATCCTGGATATTGTTGTCCTTATCAGGTTCAAATTCAACAACAAAAAGTTTCCACCTCTTATATGCGGGAATAGCTATCCAATCAATGAATAAAAAGTTAATTAAATTAAAATTGTAAAGTAAAATTTCAGCTCTTTACTCATGCTAGCTTCATTTTAAGTGTCCTGATGCCATATGTAGCCGGTGCCTATTGCACTGGAGTGCACAGATACAGAACACTTCCTCCACAGTAGGCAGTTCTATAGACCAGGGTCAACCCAGTCATTTAAAAATACACTCTATATACACATGTGAATATAACCTGACTTCTAAGGCTGGTTTTATGACTGCTTGTCAACAAATTCTCCAGAGCCTAGACCCAAAAGGCCACTTCTCCTAGCATCTGTGGCTCTCCATAAAACACACTCATGAAAACACATATTTTATACATGAGTTACTTTTACAGTTGCTGTGATAAAGTAGCCAAAGCAACTCTTTAGGCTCATCATTCAAGGCTATAGTGTATCATGGCAGAGAAGTCACAACAGCAGCATCTTGAGGCACCTGGTCAAGTTCCACCCATAGTCAAGAAGCAGAGACTGGTGAATGCCAGTACTCATAATACAGCAAGCACAGGGTCTCCATCCAGAAGAACGGCCCCACCTACAGCAACTAACCAAATCAAGATACTTCCTCAGAGACATTGTCAGAGGCTAACCTGAGTCTAAATGCTACCTCACAGATGTGCTTGGAGTGTTGTCTCCTAGGTGGTTGTAGAGCCAATGTTAATTGTCAATTGACAACCACTGTTAACCATCCCAGTTTTCAAGTTGCTCAGGAGAGTGTGCCTTTACTAATCAAACACAGTGTGTGCATCTAAAAACCCTCTCAGGCATGTGATCATGGTTCCAAGAATGCTACAGAATCAGGCTTGACACCAAGCTGGTTGTATGTGACAAGCATCTTTTTATAGATGTGTTCTGCAAGATACATGTTTTAAAATACCTATCTCTCCTTAAAAACAAATAAATAGGTATCATTTGGAGCTCAAATGCAAAGCCATGTAGAAGGATACTCCATAGACAAGGAATCAGGGAAGAGCCCTAACACATACTATGAGCCAGACACTGCAGTTGGTGCTTTTATACAGTTATTAACCTGACAAGGTCAACCCACAATAGTCACACTTCAAACACATAATTTTTTCAATCTCTCATGACCTGTAAGTGTAGAAGCTAAATTTTAATCCAAATAAGTGTGTTCCCAGACTCTTTGGTCTTCCCATCACAACATGTGGTCCTCAAGTAGCCTGTGTCTAGTACAGGGAGCTTGAGGATTTGCACATTCAAAGATAGTCTTCAGAAAGGAGGTGCACTATAAGGAAGGGTGGCATGGAGAAGGCTGGGCCGACCCCCATCCCAGGGTCTCCAACTGGTCAAACACACTCCCAAAGTCATCAGATCTTTCATTAGAAAGAATTAAACCAACTTCAGCATTTTTAGTGGTAGAAGAGTTGAGTGTTCCTAATCTAAGAATCCAACATACTCCAAGATTCCACATGATACCATAAGTGGAAAATCTGCCCCTGGATCTCATGTGACAGATTCTGGTCAAAACATCACTGCATAAATAAAAATATTATTTATGAGTACTTCAGGATGGCATATAAGTATATGAAACACACATGAGTTCTCTATTTAGACTTGGCTTCCTTCTCCAAAGTATCTCACTATCTGTAAGCATGTGTTCCAATATTCCAAATCTAAAGCACTTCTAGTCCCAAGAACCTGCAATAAGGAATATTCAGTCTGTAGGAACCATTAAATCAGTAGTAGCTGCCATTCATCAAGGTCCATAGCACTTTAAATGAAAGACACAATGGAAACTTCTTTTTGCAGCTCTCTGTCAATGCAGAAAGAGGCTCATAACTGGACAAAGTCCTGAAAATAAGTGACTACTGAGTGCTCAGCCCTAAATGGGGCATTTATACCAAATCCCCAAGACTCAGAAAACATGGGGGAAGAGAGGACAGAAAAAAAGAAAGAAAGAAAGAAAGAAAGAAAGAAAGAAAGAAAGAAAGAACCAGAGTGGTGTGAAATGCTGTTCTCTGGCCTTGACACAGCCATTGCACTCATAAATGCACGGCAGCTGTTCTTACCTGCATGCAATTTGCCCAAGCTGGCGCCCTTAACACTCCTGCAAAGATAAGAGAGGGCCCGTGGGCTCCGCCCCTTCCTCGGGAGTTTCTGGCAATTGATGACTACTCTGGGAAGAACCGCCATTTTTATTCAGGGTGTGGCCACTGGTAGGTTACCTACGCTCTGGGGGATGGCCCCACATCCATGTATGTACAGGCAGCATTAATTGGACTTAGTAGGTTGGTGTTGTTTTTTTAATGCATGAAAGTAAAAGCAGGTGGACATGTTGGAGGAGTAGGATGGGGAGTGGGGAGGTGGATAGGATCAAGATACATTGCATTGTATATACATGTAGGAAATTGTCAAACAACAAATTTTAAATGCTCTTCAAAATGAAGAACGTCATTATGAACTTTTGCCTCCATCTGAGTTGCTCCTAAAGTTGGGCCTAAGACAAGACCTTGCCAATTTGGGACACTGAGTCATTCTCCTAAGAAATAGGGATGCCAGAGAACACGTATGGGACACATCTTCTCAGTCATTGGTAGAGGACTCCCCCCTGAGGAACTCAACCCCTGACACCTTCAGGTTTCCTGCACACACAGGCTGAGCAGATGCCCATGATTCTGGCAGGGGAGATAGCTGAAGTGGTCAGGCTACGTGCAGGTGGCTCGGAGGGGCCTTAGCTGTGAGAAGGACATCAACAGCGCTACCTCCCCTTTACAGGGAAGGTTCTATGCTCAGAGTCACAGTTGATGTGAAAATCAAAACCCAAGCCATCATTAATCCAAAAGCACTCTCTCTCCCTGCTACAGATGGTGTCTTGAAACCCCTTCTCGGGTCATGCATACCTTCCCTTACAAAAATCTCCTCCTCTCTGTCCTCAGGAAAATACCACCCACTGGCAAGTTGGTACTGACCCTCGAAACAAATGCATGTGAGGGAAAAGAAAACTTTGTACGCTACCTCGAGCATGTCCAAGCTGTCATCACAGTCAATGCAACCAGGAGAGGAGACCTGAACATCAACATGACCTCCCCCATGGGCACCAAGTCCATTTTGCTGAGCCGGCGTCCAAGAGATGACGACTCCAAGGTGGGCTTTGACAAGTGGCCTTTCATGACCACCCATACCTGGGGGGAGGATGCCCGAGGGACCTGGACCCTGGAGCTGGGGTTTGTGGGCAGTGCGCCACAGAAGGGGTTGCTGAAGGAATGGACCCTGATGTTACATGGCACACAAAGTGCCCCATACATCGATCAGGTGGTGAGGGATTACCAGTCTAAACTGGCCATGTCCAAGAAGCAAGAGCTGGAGGAGGAACTGGATGAAGCTGTGGAGAGGAGTCTGCAAAGTATCCTGAGGAAAAACTAGGGCCATGCTTCTGTCTCCACCACCCCTCCTCCCTGTCTCTGCCTCTGTCCTTGCTCCACAGTTCTGGCAGCCACCAGCCACCCAGCAATTCCTGTTACCCCCACACAAGCAACCCCAGCCTGGTCTGCAGCTTTGCTCACTGTCAATGGTTATTTTCACTACAATGGAAGCAATCGTTTTTATTCTGTAGCCCAAATATAGCGTTCCTACCAACATCTATGTCCTATGTGTGACTCGACCTTTATTTCTGTCACGTAAATGGGGAATACACTGTAACAAAACAGGGACATCTTTGCCCTCAATTTTTTTTTCATATCTGAGAAGAAAAAAGAATGCATCTAAAAAGCCACACTTAGTAGCTCAAGAATGTTTGTGGTCTCTGCTGAAGTGCTGTTACATAGCACGGAAATGCAAGCTGACAGAGGGTGAACTCCACAGCTCCAGCACAGGGGTGGGTGGTGGCTTGAATTAAGCAAGACTATTCAGGGATAAAAATTGAGGTGCATGATGAAAAAGATGCTGTCCCTAGGGAATTCTAAATACTGGACAGGGTGAGGAAATTTAAAAGGCATGAGCACTGGAAATTTACCACCAATACCCAAATTGTGTCCTTCCTGCACTGCCAGGAACTGAAACATGTGGCTCTTCTGTCACCCGCTGCTTCTCTGAGTTGGGATAGAATTAACTGGAGCAACCAAAAATGCCTCTCTTCCACAGAGTTCATCCACACAGCCTCAGTTTTCTAGTACTCTTTACACAGCCATCAGAGAGAGAGAGAACTACAAGGCGTGGCTAGCAGCTGTCTGACAAGAGGCAGTTTACCGGTTTTAGAACCAGGGGCATTCCTTTTCATGAGTTGTTTTAGACCTCCTGGCTGTGACACAACCAAGAGTCAGGAGGGTTTGTTTGTTTGTTTGTTTGTTTGTTGTTTATTTTGTGTTTTGGTTTATTGTCCATAGCTTTATCCACACACCCCCCCCCTTGAGCTTTGATTTCCCAAAAGTTCACTGGAGTGCAGCATCTCCTCCCTCTCTCACTTCATTGATGTACTGGAGAAATGGGCCACTGTTCCAGTAGATGAAAGGGGTACATCAGAAGACACAAGTGGCCATATTCAAGTGGACCTAAGATTACAAGGAGCCTGTTTCTCTAAGAGACATATGTGCCTCCTCATCCCCCATAGTTGGAGGCCAGAAGGAAGCAAGAGATAAAGCTCGTGTCATCTTGGCAACTCAAATCCATGAGAATATCTAACAAGCTTCCCAAATAGAAAACAGCTGTCAACCTTAAAAGACACCATTTTATTCCCAAACAGTTATTACCACAGTAACCCATTGTCACTTGGTAGCCCCACCCAAGGATTGGCTTCTCACTCAAACCTCAGAGTTCAATCATCCCACCCCCACCCCCAACCACACCAGGCTCTCACCTTCCCTTCCCTGAAGCATGCACAGAGCCTGGAGTTCCTTTGCTGACGCCAGCAACTAAGAAGCACTGGGGTCCCATTCCCTGAGGGTGGCAACTTTAAGAGAAAATACTGGAAAGTTTGTTTCACTCTTTTTCTCCACCAAATTAACAAGAATTTTGTCTTCTCTGACACCTTGTAAATTTCCCTGTACTGTGCTTTTGAGTGTAATAATATTTATGATTTCTAAAAGAAATTTATTACTTGCTGCAAAGGTCTTTTTAAACCATCTTAGATTTAAAGAAAAAAATGTCAAGTCGTTGAAAATTCATTTCACATTAATGGTCTGGGAATAAACCAAAGGACATGTGTGCATGTATGCATAAGTGCACACAGAAATATATATATATATATATATATATATATATATATATATATGCATGAACACATGATAAAAATGTAAAAAAAACCCTGAATAATAATTAAACCATCTCTTATATTAAAAAAATCAGACAGCAGGTGACTCAATAATCTTAAATTAAGTGTAAGGCAGACAAAAAATAAATGCAAAGCTAAAGTTAATGAAGTACAAAGTAGAAGGTTAACAGGGAGGGCTTAGAAGTTAGTTCTTCTAAAAATTAAAATGAAACCATTGATTCCAATAAGAAAGGGGAAAAAAATCCAAATCAACACAGAAACACACAAGTCCATCCTGCACAAAACAGCAAATCGATGGATTTATCAAAGGGTGCTGAGGGACCACCGGCTTCTTTGGCTTTGCGCCTGTGTCAAGCACCATGGGCTGGCTAATAGTGCCCAAATCCAAGCGCTTATCAACCACACAGACTTTGGGGAATCCAGCATTGATCTGCCTGTTTGTCTAAGCCAAGGACATTTTCGGACTCACATGGTGGCACTTGGGAAGGTTTAGTTAGAACAGGTGTGCACAGGCTCTGGGGAGTACTTCCCAGACACGGCGATTGTGATCCCAGGGCCATGGTCCCTGCTTCATCACCAGGTTTGTGAACTGAGACACTTTAAGATTTCATATTTGCCCTGGCCTGGAATCAGTAAGCTAGGCATGCACACTAAGGTATTAGGGACCAGAGGGAGAGAAAAGCCTGAATTGGGAGCGACATAGCTCCATGCATCCTGGCAGGCTTCTAATCAACCTCGTGAATGTCAGTCCCCAGAGCGAGCTTGCACATGAATATTTTAAGAATTTCGGTCTACTATTGATTTGTGGCCTGTCAGTATCCAACTGGTTAATTAAATTTGATGCAAAAACAAAAGAATTGGGAGCAAATCTAGTGTCTTTGGACAGGTAGCTAGGGTGAACATGGTGGTACTTGAGAAAGAACTTCTTTTATGGGCAGAGGGAAGGGGGAAGAGAGGGGCCTCTAGAAAGGTCTTAGTTGTATGTGAAGTCAAGGTCACGTATCTGGCCCTAAAAGAAGACATTGGTCCAGAAAGATTCAATGTTTATCTATAGAAAAATCCAAGGAGGAGCTGGCCACATGGCAAACAAAAGGTTAATCATGATTTGCAGCTGGGTTTCCTAGATAAGAGTTACATTTTTAATTTTTTTCAAGATGTTTGTTCTCTCCCTTTGTTTGTTTTCCACAGGGCTCCCCTTACTGTACCCCCTGCCAAAGCTCTAGGCTGTGTAACCACTGGGAGAACATTGTTCTAATCCTTTGGTCTCAACTGAGTCAAAAACTCAAAGGAAACCTGTACCTTCCTTCAGCAGGCAGGTGTGCACGCATTCTTTCATTTCTCTCTGATCTATACTGTTTATCTCTCAGTTTCTTTGTAGCCTATTTTAAGTTTAAAAACATCAATAGTAACACAAATTCAATTTGACTGAAAGTTGCAGTGTTCTGTAGCCCGCCTCTTCCCTACTTGCTAACCAGGGCTGACTTTCACGACGTTGGTTCTCAGAGCCACATAGTCCTTCCAAAGGGGAAACGCTCCTTCTGATGAAACAGCACCATCTCCCCCTGTAAGGAAACAAGTGTGCATTTGCAAATAACAGCTTTGTGTGCAGACAGAGGTTTGAGGTGTCCAAAGAGCAGAATAGAAGGCATGGAGACAAACCCGGCTGCTTGCCATGAGGAGAGACACCTCCACGCCTACATAGCTTTCTGCTAGGGGGAGAAGGAGGTCTCTGGTTCACACTCAATGGATGAACAGTAGTGAGTACTGCCCATCAAAGGGGAAATGGGACACTGTGATGATTAAATCTGTCAATGTGACAGGGTCCAGAAATACCTAGGAGGCACACCTCTGGCCATGTCTGTGAGGGAGTATCTAGATTGTTTTAACTGAAGAGAGAAAACCCATCTTGAATGGGGGTGCACCATTCCACAAGCTTTGGTTTTGTACTAATAAAAGGAGGGAAGCCAGCTGAGTGTGAGCATTCATATCTGTTTCTCGGTAGATGGGATGAGTCCATGTGCCCTATGCTCTGGCCGCCATGCCTTCCCTGCCATGACGGCCTGGACCCTCAAACTGTGAACTATGAGCCCTTTCTTCTGTAAGTTGCTTTTGTCTTGTATTCAGTGAGAGCAACAAGAAAATTAACAAATCCCACCTCCATCTTGGCATTTCTTTCATCTAATACAGTTAAAATAAAAGTACTGCTTTTGACTCATTCTGTTTTATTTCCTTGGCAAACACACTTGTACTGGGGAGGGCAGAAACACTTTTTAGCTAATTATTGTAGGTAGTAGTATTTTTAGTTGTCAGTACAATTCTGTATTTTCTCTGTTGTGAGGAGCTTTCATACAGTGAAAACTTTCGTTTGGGTTTTCAGTGGGACACACCATCATTGGACTTCTCACATCCATCTAACATTAGAAGTCCTTGTGCTTTGAAAGGGACCCCGGCTCAGAGACATTTAGGAAAGGTAGTGAGACAGCTCAAATCACTGAGTTGTAACTGACGCAGATGACCTGAGTAGGGCCAGCTGCCTGCAGCTCCTCTCAGAGTCCCAAGATGCTGCTTGGCTGGCTGTGACCGGTCATGTGGAGCCCTGATGTCTGTCTGTTTGAGCTAGTATTTGGTTGCCTTTCATTTGTGAGGGAAAATGCATGAGAATGTTCTTGGCTTGTGATAGTATTCTCAGACTTCCTCCTTAATATGTAGAAGGAAGCAATCATTACAGAAATCCTCTAGGAACTAAGGTCCTTTGTGGCTCTTTTCTCCAACCCCACACTTTGCATTCTGACAGAAAATTGCTCGTTAGTCCCCAGAGAATGACCAATTTCCCAACACAGTCACTCAAGTGAACCAGAACTCTATGAGTTCCTACAGATTGGCTGCCATTAATTGCCTGCTGTGGCTTTTGTTAGGCCATGTGGCCCTACTAAGGATCCAGGTCTCTGCTCATCCTTAGCTCCAGCCTGTACTTGGTGCTCCCACCAAATTACAAATGATGCCCGAAGAGGAGACATGGCCTGGAGTGAGTTTATTGATTTGGAAACTCGAGATGAAACAAGGAGGTAGTTTGGAAATCAGATCGATATTTAACTATGTGTATGTAGTAGTTTGAATGTTTGGCTATGGGATAAACAAAGAGAACCTGAGAAAGGGG